CTAGTTTTATATGAATTGTTATTATTCTAGAAAAGATTATACGTTATGCCATATTTTGTAAAAGATTTAACAAAGAGCTATTTCGAGATGGCATACAAAAGGGATAAGTGGACAGAAATGGGAGAGACCTCTGCTCAGCAGTGAGACTTTGTGGTTCAATCATAAAATAGAATATCATTGTTAGCAATAAAATGTATATAAGATATGTAGCTGTTTAATTTAAAAAAAAATTATATAGTCACCCATTCTGTGTCCAATTTGGTTTGTATACTTAAAATTTATATAGACTCTCTCTCAAAGATAATATTACAATACATATAAAAAATAATTCACTTGTATAGCTACAAGTACATATACAATGGCATTATACAACAACAAGCAACATCATAGTAAATAGGTACTCCACATTTTCTCTATTATCAACGCGACCTCGTTACGCCGCTCGCCTTCTGTATGTAAATCGATTGTTTTCCATCGATTCCCACACGTCTACTTTACATCCGATCACTTTTCCACAATATGACAGGTTCGTTCCACGGTATCCCCTTGTGTATATTAAAATGCAAATCAAAGTCAGGGCCGTAATTTTTTTGACGAATCGACTCGACACTCGTAATCGCGAGATAGTCACGTCTCTAATATATTTCTCGGGGTGCCGTAAAGACATCTAATCGGAAATCTTTTTTACTTATTCCAATATGTGCAGGCGTAAGCCCATTTTTTCGGTTTACGATCGCAATAAAATTCTTAATCGAAAATTAATGTTGTGGCCAGAGTGCGGTCGGGCAGCGGACTCCGTGGAAGGGTTGGTAAAGAGGCTAATTTGGTCTAGTGAGCGGACGGTGTTGTATCATTTGGTATATTAATTGCGTTCATAAGTTCGACGCCGGTCGTTTTATCGCCGACGCAGCCGCGCTCGCTTCAGCCAGCTTATGCAAATGACACGCGCCGAGTGTCCGTAATGTTAGCATAATAACAATTTAAGAAGTAAAACAACAATAAGTGCTCGTAATACCTCCATATTTTCCGAATCGTAGTCACACAGTATCGAAATGTTGAGGTATCGATACGAAGTCAGCACTTTTTTAGCCGTCCCGAATATGTTTGCTACAACAGTAACCAGTTCAAGATTATTGTGGATATGTGATTTTTGTGAAAGAGGAATATTTTTGTACTATTTGTGATTGATTTTTTACTACTGCCTGACTTGTTTTTTTTTTACTTTTTACAGGCAAAAACCGTTATCAGTTCTTTTATCTACCCGTGAAACTAAAATTTTTCCTTGAAAAATCGTAATCTGGATCGAAAAATTACAATAAAAGTTAAGTCGCCATACTAACGGGACGCCTTCACTATCAAACAAGTATGAACTCTAAATATTACTATTTAAGATTTATTGTTTGGTGTTAAATATACATGCAAAAGCATACTTGTAATAAAATAGTTAAAATTTTCCAAACTTTAAAACGGGATTCAATTGAAAACAAAGACAACTGGTTCCATTTTCAAAACAATCCACGTAGCGGCCAAATTGTTTTTCAAATTCAGAAACTCGGAAATTATTGGCATCAGGTCATGTATACTGAGCCAAAGTCTACTTGGCTTTACTCGAAAATAACAGTTTCGAAGTCAAACCCGTTTTATATCAACTCATAAAACCATTTTTACTTCTCATTTTCATAAAGCGGCGGTACCTACATAATTATGCGGGAAGGGTAGACCCGACGAGATGCGATTTTTGGTCCGAGTTTTATGTTAATGTGTACCCCACGTTCCTCTATGCTAATCACTGAATATGAGAGTATTCATACGGAACCACTATTTTAACCCTTCGCGAGGCTTCTGTTGGCGTTCATATAAGTAAAAATGGAGGAACAGGAAATATGTAAATTATGCTTTTTAGAATTCAAGGAAAATCGGTATTAAATGATGTAACGGAGGGAACAGATGTTAGTGTCACTGTAGTTCTGTATCATAAACCGCAGCTAGAAATTGTGATGCAAAGTGTTGGCATTTCGTGGAATGTTAAGTTGATGAATTTTGGTTTTGACACAAATATACATATATCGTTTAAAAGGATTTAAACGGAAAAGAGAAAGGGCTTACATTAAAATCTAAATGATGAATTAAAAATACAAATAGATAAAGGAAAAGAAAATAATATAAATAATTAAATACGTCCACATTCAACTGTTCTAACTAAGACGCCCTGTGCTTTAAGAAACTAAGCAATTAATATTAGGGGAATACTTATATAGATTATAAGAGGCTTGTAAAAAGCAATTTAATTTCCTAAATTGGCCCTCCCGAGATTTGAACCTAATTTACGTAAAAACAAACATGTCACAATATTTTGCTCGTCAAAATAATAATACAGCTCACAAAAGTAAATTATAAAGTAGATTTACGTATAATAAACTGGAAGTAACAAGAATTTATAAAGCATTAAGAAGTAACTTTACAAAATAACTAGAAAGTTTCCGGAAAATAAAAACTGGATGTAATCCTAAATTTATAAAGAGCTCCCATTCGGAGTTATTGGAAATATTGTATATATTCCGCCTAGCAAATCTCTCATTAAAGCTTGCTTACACAGAAATTTGATTAGTTACTGGGACCAAAAACCAATAATTCCTTAATAAGGATAATTATTCGGAGCGATGTCAAATTATCGGAAGAAGCTTTATAATTAGTGTATTTAAAGATAAAACCAAAATTTTCATGGGAAATATTCCAGCTGATAATCTTGGGGCATCCTATTGCGCAGTCCATGGGATATACGTTTATGACAAAATATCTTAAAAGTAATTACAAATTGGTTCAACAGTAAGGGTAATTCTGGTTGAATTATTGATGTAAATTACTAAAATAAAGTAAAGCCTAATTTGAAATTGAGAAAATTTCGAAAAACAAACAAAATATGCAATTAACACAGTAGATACGAAGTGAAATTAACACAGTAGATACCATCAAATATGGCTTTATTCGTAAATGATTTGTTATGAAATTTAGACCTTGCTTATTTCATAGATCTCAAGCAGTTGTAGCTTGTAGAAAATAGCAATTGAAGAGAAAAAATGCTATCAGGCAACCTTAATAATAATAATAACAACCTTAATACTATTAGCACAAATAATATTATTGTCGATAAAAGTTAAAAATTTAAAGATTATAAAGCTTATATAGTACCTAATGATTTTTTACATACACTAGTATGAATAGTACGTCATCAGTTCGTTCTTACAAAAATATAATAAATATTAGTGTTAAATTAGCTAATCACTATAAAATTAGACTCCCATTTGTAATCCACTAATTAAGGAACAATATTTTAAAGTAGGTATTATAACAGCGGTTACATTAAGGATTAATCGGTTTATATATCCAATAAAGAATACAGTTTAATAAAATTATACACATACAATAAAACATTAAACTGCAACTAGCGATTATTGTAGGTACCGATACCAGTATACGAGTATTACGTTATCAACCCGTATTGGCAATTATGTTGATAGCAACTGTTGTTTTTATAAGAGGTTTTTTACTAACCTATTTTAGTTATAGTACTGTTTTGTCTCTTTCTTTTGTGTTAAATTCTCAGTTAGAAAGAAATTAACAAAATTGTGCAATCATTTATTTTATTTATATATTTATTCTTTTTTTCGAAAAATATTTGATACAAAATGCAGACTTAATGCTATATAGCATTCTCTTCCAGTCTACTTTTGACAAAATACCGAATAGATATAATTATGCAGTGAAAATAAATTGAAAATTGTTGTAGTTTAACATAATAACATATAATAGGTTAAATAGGTTTGTAGGTTTTAATTTTTACAAATAAAGGGGCTAGTATTAATTTACAACTTAGAGATTTTAAAGATTAGGTATATTTTTCGGGTGATTTGATTTTTCCTTAGATCCTTCAAACGCAGCATGTAAAAGCACTTAGTGAGCCAGAGTAGTATGGCGAACTATTGAAAGTAAAGAATTCTTTTTTTGGTTGATCGCATTCACGGACCATTATTGTCTCTGTGTTCACTCAAGATAGTGTTGTCACATGCCGTGCTTTTATAGAAATATACATATTTATTCATATTACCTGATCGGTTTCACTTTCATGATATTCTTAATAGATTATGAATTAACTATGTTTTTCATTTCCGCTAATATATATTGTCATTTATCCCTTGAGTAATTTTTTTTCTCTTTTATAATTACGGTTATATACTTCATGTGAAATTGTTTTATAGCCAATAAATGTTTTCTAGCCTATTCTATATCCGATTACAGATAAAAATAATTTAGCTAAATAAGAAATACAAAAATAGATGTTCTTGGAATTGTATATATCTTGGCCGTTGCATTCAGTTCATCAAGTATTTTTAAGGGTGATCGCTGGTGCAAAGTTACACCGAATTTTGAAATAGCTATCGCTTATAAAATTTTTGATATTCTATCTCTAATCTTGCGACATCATTGCTATGCTCCAAAGATAGTGGTACACTACTCTTACTGATAAATTTTCGTCCTTCGAATACAATATAAATTTAATATTGTTTCTTAGGTATTCTATTATTTATTTCATCAGAAAGCATATAAAAATAGAATTGTAATATTCTTTATATGTACAATTTTCTCATTGTTATATCCTCATTTTCAATTATACGTAAAACCTCTACAATGTGCGAGTGTTACGAGTAGATACCAAGTAATAATTAAAAAGGTAAAATACTCGTACTATGCCATTCCTGTTTACGCAGGTTAATATTAAATTTTCGTTATATTTAATTACATAACAACAAACTGTCGTTAGGGTTGGGGAAATTTGTGCGTGGTTTTGAACTTTAATAGTAATACCCCAGAGACATTTGTACCATTGTTATGTATGTGCATATTTTGGCAGGAGATATAATCGTTAATGTGAGATGTATTTTGATGCTTAATCAGTATTTTTCAAATGGGAGTCTAGGACTTAAAAGTAGTAATGGACTTACCAGCAGCGTTGACTTGAGGATTGATGAAGAGGAGGCAGGTGAAGAGCAGAGCGGCGGTGCGGTGGAGCGCGCGACGCCGCTCTCGCATTTTACCGGCGCCGGGCCGCGCCTGCGCCAGAAACCACGTGACAACGCACCGCACGCTCCACGCCCCTCATTACCGGGCGTAGTGCCCGCGTGCTCCCATGTAAACCCACCCTTATTTGCCAAACTTAACCTTACTTACGATACAGCTTAACAACTACACACATCACAACCGAGTTTTGCCACTTATTAAATTAGAATCGAAAAAATTACTCTAATTTTTATATCACAAAAATACGACAACCGCTTCGATGATTAAAAATTTCGAAATTTTAAAGATAAAACATGTAGACAACGACGAAGTTTTTTTTTCTAATTTTATATATTATGTACAATATTTCTTTAAAGGTCCAGTCGTTTAGTATATTCGTTTATATTGATTTAGCACAACTGCGTTTAGTTTCACTGCGCTAGCATTCTCGGAAGCACAGTTCGGTTGAAATAGCGAGGAAAGTTCAACCATATTCCATTGTTATACGTCACTGTTTTCGCGTTTTCAACTGTGTAAACAATCACTACGGTCGCACGTTCGTCTAACTTCACAATGCACATGGAATTCCTCCTCAATCAAACACATTTTTTACTGTATGTAGCCAGAATAACGCTGGTCGTTTTTCTTGCACGAAACCTGCAATCAATCATGCGGGAAAAATGTTATAGATCAGCATCAACTTGTCCATGCTGATGTATGACATTCAATATGTTCGTATACAAACGGAATTGGAATGCGCATTGCAAATTTACTTGAAAATACGAGCTATAAATACCTATTTGTCTGCTTCTTTACATTTACTCTCTAGACAGTCTATTTTAGTCAATGATCCCAAATGAGTCTTAGACAGAGTTCATGATACCAAAAACTATGTACTTCCATTTCTTATATTCATTTTAACAGTTCTTACTTTAAGATGATTCAGAATAAGTTGTACGAGTATTAACTCTTTAAAATACTGTAAAATAAAAACCAGCATTCTCTGATTCAGAAGTTACGAATACACTACCATATCTCGAAACTTCACCGAATTCAATAAGACGTGTTTTCAGTCCAAGATAAAGACAGTAGAACTGGGAACTAAATATTCAATGATGGAGAGCCGTCTGCAGCCGTTTGCACAACTTATAACTTCAATAAGACCGGACCAGGTGTGACCTGCGATGCTACGAATAAGCTATTTGCATAGACACTGCTAGGCACTGTTGTACTTGGTCTCGGTAGTAATTTAGAAGGAACATTGTTTAGATTTAATTGTAGTGAAGGGTATTAGTATAGAAGGCTTTAAGCCACAGAAGCGTACAACGTAAAAGTTTAATTTTATACAAATACACGACTACTAAAATATAATAATTTTAAAGCTAAGAATTTGTTTTAAATTTAGGCCATTCCAAAGAAAAATGTTTTCTTTTTATAATTTCTTGAATGGTTTTGCAGATATGCTTCTATGAATTGAAGGTAGTGATGTATTAGTACCTAAAAATTCTGCTAATAGTCGTAATTGTTTGTATTTAGTTGAAATTTGAATACATATAGAAAAAAAATACACTTATACAATACCACTAACTTGTACCTCTTCAAGGCACTTCTAAGTAAAAATTATTTTTGGCAAAATATAAATATTAAATTCTTTTTTTTTTATTTACAAATTTAATAGTATATAAGAGTTTTAATTTAGATTTTTAATCATCCTGAAATGAATGCAACTTGGTGCACAAGATGGAACATAATCTAAATGTATGAAATGCTTATATTCCAACTTACAAGGCCAAACCCACAGTTTCAGATTCAGATTCTTTATAAGCATTAAATATGGTTACATCAAATATTCAATTGTGTATACTTCGAGCTATATGTTTCACCAATGTCCGTCATTAATATTATTATTATTTAGATAGTTAAGGTAAAATACAAAAATAACATTAATATAATAAAAAATACTGCAATTGATAAATTGTTACCTCAGATTGTTACATACACGTACTACTTTAATATATATTCTTATTAATTTCTGCTAGTATTTAATATTGAGGTCACTGGATCTTAATAATAAATACTGCATACTCATACATACTGATGTAGGAATATATAGCGAATACGAAATAGGAAGTGAGTCTGCTAGCAATAATCATCTATCATAGGAACACTCGGAAACGTTTAATCAACCCTCAATCTTAATTAACTCGCTAACGATCTTATTCGCAAACTCCGGCGACATCAGAAGATTATTTTTAACTTTTAATAAGATTTTCGAGTAGTTAACATATTTGAATTGGATGTTGGTGTTCCTTTGATTTGTCTATACTATTCTAAATGTAAATTATTTTGATAGAGGGATTTAATATAAAAGTATTACGTATGCCCGTGAATCTAAAATATTATTCTCCTATTTATTTATTTATTTAATATTTATTGACCGATAACATATGATACAGAAGGCGAACTTAATTCTATAGGCATTCTCTACCAGTCAACTTTTACGATGTGCAGAGATGATACTTGATGATAAGACTTGATAGTGATTTAAAAATTAAAATAATATATAATTTAATATAATAAAATTTCTATCAACTTCTTCAATTCTTGAATGCACTATAAATTATACACTGGAAACGTTTGGTATATTTATTATAATTTAAGATAATTTTGTACCCATTTTTAGATAAATAAATGAATTGAATTGAATTCAATCACTTATTTATAATAATTGTACTTTGTTTTAATGTTTTTTTTTATTGGATAATAATGAAATGGTAACATCACCCGTGTTATCGAAATTTACTGACGAGGTACCAGTGAGGGATGATTGGTGAGGATGAAGCCAGATCAGTTGATCTATTGCAACGAATTTAACAGTAATTAATCACGATGGTTTCCAAGGAATTACGTGGAAGTCGCCTTATATGGCATATTACTTGCAATGGGGACGTTAAACCCCTACTAAGCATAATCTGCTAACAATCTTTCTCCCCTCATTTTAATGTCTTTACAAAAACTGTTTTTATTATTTCTACATGCGACCAGTTTCAAATACAAACAGTGAACAATATCACTGATAATCGTTCGAAGGTTAGACGAGATTGAATAATAATATCCAAATATCTTTACAAACTTTCACGTTTATAATATTAGAAAATTTCTTTCGACTGGTAACTTTTTTGTAAACTACTTTGTTGGCAAACAAGCATATGGCCTGTCTGATGATAAACGGGGTTACCATAGCCACAACGAATTATAATGCAATATGAATTACACATTGTTATAACTACAAATTTTTGCAAATTATTTTATAAATGTAAAAATGTGTTTATACATTTTCTCCAACCAGACAATTATCATGAAATTTTATTTACACGTAGTGCATAGGATGGATATTTTTATCCCGGTTACGTGAACAAAAGCTACCAGTAAAAACTAGTATATAAAATTTATGTTTATCTGTATCTTGGATGTTTTTTATAGTAACAAAAAGAAACTAAACTTATAATTCAATTTGATATTAAATAGAGCTCGTTAAAAAAATAGTCTTAGAACTGGAGCTTTAGTATTTACATATTAAAGGAATAATTAAATAAAGTCACAATTATGACACATCAGAAATTTATCAAGAAAATACAAGTGGTATTTAATCTTTTTATAACTTAATGTTGAACTTATCTTTAATGGGAACTTAATGACTTCGTTAGTCTCTTCAGCTACCAACATGCTAGTTAAGATAATTACTCCGCCATGTTTGCCTATAGTTCGTGCCAATTCAAAGAATATGTGTTTAGAAATTGGTATCTCCGGTGCGGGATTACCGAGCCTATTTTTCTTCTAAAAATCCCTCATGTTGTGCATTTTTTTGTGTACCTATGGAAACAAATGTGAGGGGTTGAGGGTTGTCACAACGTTGGCTAATCCGTGGCTTTCCTGTCAGCATTATCACACCGCTGCAAATATTGCGGAACTTTGCTAATGTTGGTACGGTTTACGAGGGTTTTAGCGCGTGGTGATTGTCATCTCACTCGCACCTGTACAAAATAGTTGTGTGTAAACGAGACTGTAATATATAGCAATATTATATTGTACAGGAGATGTTAATAATGCAAGCCGATAGCGTACGCATTCACATAATAAATATTTAGGTTAGTATCCGTTTATCTACTTTGTATTCATTTTGATTAAATAGACCATATAGTACAAGTGGGCTTTAAAAAGCGATTAATAAATTATAAAATTTATCGGCATTGTAAATTTAAAAGACATACCAGTTTCAGTAATTTCATTTTCTCTAAAGTTAAATTAAACATTAATGAAAATCGTCATTGTAATATAATCAACTTAGAATAAAAGCAACCTGTTGAATTAAAAAGCAATAAAAATGTGCCTCTATTTGGGCAAATGGTAATTAAAACTCCGTTATTAATCCTCAACTTTCGTTTTCCAAGCTTTATTCTGCTAGAGAGAAGAGAAAAAAAGAATTTGCAAATTGGCGTTAAAAAAATATTTTACAGACAAAAGAAGCAACGCCGAACCTCGCTGCGTTGATTTGATGACACGTAGTGAACTGCAGAATAACGGTTGATTTATCTAGCAGTGGAAAACGTTAACAATGTTAGCGTTTTGCGCAACTAACTATACGTGTTCAGATTCACAGTGCGCCTTTAATGGTTCTTTTGTTACTTTTAGTTTTAGTTTTTCGACATCACCAAGGTCTCACTAAATATATATACACAAAATTTACTGTATATATAGGTATAATCAATTTTGGCAATCAACCAATATGTTTCCGTGCTTCTATATACAATTTATCTTCTGTATTTCTAATAAACTGGATTATTATTTTGATAGTTTTAAGATACTTTTAAGAAAACAATTACTTCTTAGTTAAGATTTTCATAACCATTTACCTCTATGTTGAACTTATCTGTATAAAATAAAATTTAAAATTTAAAATTCAAATTCGACATAACAATGGTAGAATTGAGATGTAAGAAATTGAAATTGGCAAAGTCCTTCTCTTTCTTCTTTCTGCCCTTTCTTCTTATCTA